TTTTTTGGCTGTGTGTGAAAAGAAGTGTGTTGGTGTACGTACATATGTAGGTGTAAATTGAATATGAATACATCCTTATATATAAACAATAACAAATGTCTTAAAGTATTAATTTGTTACTAAAACGCACTAACAAAATCGCACCTTAAACACTTATTCACTTAAAAATTTAATCGGTATTTTTTCGATTTGACAATTTTGATGTAGTTCGGTTCGGTTAAATGAGCTCTGTTGAACTGCATAAAATTTGCCATATCGAAAAAGTTTAGCGATAAATAGTTGATTTAAGGACCAGCATACATGATCATAAGTTATGAAAACAAGTTGAATAGATGTCTATCAAATAGCCATCCCCCGTTTTAATATAAACTTAAAAAACCGGGAGATACTTAATCGGAGGGGCATCTTTAAAAATAACATTTCGCGAAATTCTAACTAACCGGCTTGCAAAAATTATACTTATATGTATTGGCATATGCTTTTTTTTCTTGGTCATTTTTTGTTAAGCTTTCCACCCCTTCAGTCAAATTTTCGCATATGACACTCTGTTTATTTACAGACTCTTTCAATTAATTATTTATGTATAAACATAACTTCATCAACAGCTGATTGCACACACAAAAATTATTTAAACATTTATACATACATACATACGTAGTTGCATAAATAGAGTCGAGAAAATAATTAAAAATTTACCAGCACATGCTTCATTAAATATTGCTGAGAATACTCGGCGCCGACATACAAACTGCCATAGATTGCACTGTTGGTGAGAAAGGGATGGCGTCGGAAGAGGCCACGCACAGCATTCACAAAAGTGGACATATTCACCAATATAAAGCTATATTTTGATACTTTGTTACTATGTAATTGGCTATTACTAAAAATAATTTATTACTAGGAGATATTTTTATTATTCCTATGGACACTTTTCCACTGCTTGTCAACTGCACATAACACACCCTTTTCGAAGCGAATTACTACCGACTAACCACCCAGTAGACGAGCGCAAAATCAACCCAAAGTTACTGAGCACAAAAGTTTACTAATTGTTTTGATGTCTCAATACTTGGTCTGGAGCTCCGCTGAGCTTAAATTTGCGCTCAATATAAGGTTGTGTCGCTCACCAGAGCACTGCCATGTCCAGAGACAGGCAAACAACAACTCAACATCTGTATGTTTTAGCGAAGCTTGCAGTTGTACGAATCTAATCTGCTATTTTGTTATCTTTGTTCTATTTTCTGCAAAATAATCCCAGATAGTTGCTTTACCATATTCAATTCAAAAATGTCATTATCCAATTCCTATATAGAATTGCTCGCTGATTTCGAAAATCGAGTTAATTTTTTTCTATGGAAAAGTTTTCTAGACATTTTCAATTCACCGTTATTCAGCCAAAAATAGGTGGTTCCACTTAATCACAGTACATCTTATGAAGCAATTGAGCAATCCTAGTACGAGATATGGCAAATGAAACCTAACAACATTCTCCACAAACCGTATATACATCACTTTTCGATCAGCCCGATAGTTTCAGAGCAATTAATCAATCATTTCAGATTATTTGTTTATGTTATGTTACTCATACGCCATGCACACTCTTGCCTGCTCATACTTCATACAAAAAATCCTTGCGCAATTTCATTTGAACAGTCGTTCCATTTTTATTTATCCATCGATTTTCTTCATTAGTAGCTTGATTTTTTGTAACGGAACAGGCTTTAATGCAAGTAGAAAAAAAATTACACAGAATTTGTTGTTTCTAAAATTTTTCCCTATTAAAGCTTTAATTTTTTTTCCTCTTTTTATCAAAAAAAAAACAAAAAATCTAGGCTGATTAATTAATTTCTCAGAAACTATTACACCTATCGAAAAGTTATGTATGTACATATATACGGTTTAGGGAGTTAGAAAAAATTTGCGAATTTTTTGCCATTTTTTCGCAATTTACTCGAAACTTTGAGGGTTTACGAGTCAAACGGACCTCAGATTCGAATTCAGTGGGTCGAAATACATGTCGGTAGAAAGGCCTGGTTAAAAGCACACGTCTTTTCTTTGTGTGGAGTGCTACGTTGAAAAAGGCCAGAATCACTTTTCCGTCCATATGGTCAATCAAGAAGAAGAAAAAATTTGCATGCATATGTAGAATTATACATATGTATGTAGCTATGTGTTTATGGTACGTTAATTTATTTTTTTTTT